TGTGCCATTATTAGAAACGCAACTTGCGAATGGAATAATTTATGCTATTAATTTTAATTAATGTATTTATTCAAAATTTAAAATTTTAATACTTTTAGTATAATTCATAAAAGATGAATATATTATTTAATAATATTAATTCAATTAGTAATAGTTTTAAATTTATACAGTGTAATTAATTGTTGACTTGAATAACGTGGTGCTCGTTTTGGTGATTCGTGTTTTCATTCAATACGAGGTTTAGCTGATGACGTGGAATTTTTACTGCCATTCGCCATTGGTGTGCCATCTTTTTTACGTGTAAAATTTCTGTCGACACACATTTTCGTCCAGGTACAACACTCTCAACAATTTTAATTTAGTGGGATTTAGAAAATAAACACAACGTTAGAGTTTTATTAGGATTCAAACTCTTAAAAATAGGATAGAGTTTTACTATGATTCAAACTCCTAAAAATAGGATAGAGTTTTACTATGATTCAAACTCCTAAAAATAAGATAGAGTTCTACTAGGATTCAAACTCCTAAAAATAGGATCCACAAGCGTTATAAATAGCCATTGTAAATCATTATTGTAACACACAATATTTACCAGAGAGATTACACACAAATACACGCAAGACACAGAGAGAGATTATGAGAGTCACACACACAGAGATTACGCAAGACACCGATTTTTATACCCAATTTTCTTTTGAATTTGACCTTTAATCGTGGTTTTATTTCAATTTAGTCCCTTTACTATTATTTTGTTTTTTTATTTTATTACAACTGTTATTATTTTTTAAAAATATTATTACTTTATGCATATATATATTTCTTATTTTATTTATTGTATTCTTATTTTATGACTTTTTATTTTTGTTTACAAATTATTTATATATATATATATATATATATTCTTTATTTTTTATATATTACTATAACTATTACTATTATTATTATCTTTTTTTTATTTTACTCATTTATACGTGTGTGTGTATATATATATATATATATATTATTTATTTATATATTTATTTTTTATTTATTGTTTTCGTTTATTTGTTTTGTTTTTTTTAATATTTATTTATGTGTAGATATATATCTATTTGTTTTGGTATAATACTTCCATGTATACATAATATATTTATTACCTTTTCTATCTTAAAATACCATATTTTATCATTACTTATATATCATCTATGTTATTCTTCCTTTTATCATTTTTTTTACTTTGTTTTCTCTGTGTTTTTGTTGTTGTTTTGTTTTTGTTTTTTATTCTTTTTTTCACTTTGTTATATATTTACTCATGTTACCATTTTATTTATTTTTATATCTACTTACGTTATTATTTTTTTCCTGTTTTGTTGTTGCTCTCATATTTACATGTCTTTTTCTCCTAATTCGATCTTGTATTTCATAAGTCTAACATCTTTAAACTCTTAAGGGAATTTTCACCAATCAGATGTAAGTAACTGGGATCTTATTTTTATCTTTAAATTTAAACTTATAATTTTCTTAATCAAAGACAACTGGAAATTACACAGTACCGAAAGGGCAGTTCAAGGGTGCTAGCCCTTCATTGACTGTAACCGCCGAATCTGACATATCACTGGTAAGATGCAGATCAAGTAAGGAATAAGGTATCCGATCTACCTATTTGTTTTAAAATAAAAGATCAGTGGCGACTCCAATTTATTTAATCCAAGTCGAAGCCCAACTCCGGGGCTCAACCGAAAAACGGTTCCAACAATTCCAACTTGGCATTTGTTTCAATATTAATAATTAATTTAAAATAACAATTAGGTGATTTATTGATATAGTTTTGTTATATACAATATAGTATTTGTTCAAAGATTGTCAATCATTTGACATTGAATGTTTATATCCTTACATACTATGTGATTTATTGATAGATTTTATTTTTTAAATCTTGATCAGATCATGATAATATTAAAATAAGATTTTGAATTTTATATTTTAATTATTAAATTTTAAAATAAAGTACATATTTAATCGTTCAAATATTCTTCCATTTTAAGATTTTAACGTGATTTTATTCGTATTGGTTTTGGTTTTTTTAATCTCATTTGATATTTTTTTCCAGGATCAAAGACACCATGTAGTTAAATTAAAATGTTGTATTGTTTTCAAATTTAATGTTCATGGCCCAATGTTTCAAACAATTATCGTTAAGGCAATCAATAAGTTGAAAATAAAAATATACATATAAAAGAAAACCTCATTTGTCCCCTTGTTCCTGCCCAACCCAACACTGATATGACCACCAACGTTCTAATTCTTTGCCCTAATAAATGAGAAACATTTCACTGTTCTCTTTACTCACACTAAATTATTAATTCTATATCTTAAAATGTTAATATCATTTAAAAAAAATTAAAAATGAACTATTCTTATAAATTTATTGATTAAAAATTACAAGTTACGTTTAATCCATCATGCTTTTCTAAAATAAAATCTATTATTTTAAGGATAATTTTATGTAGGATGACAAATACTTGAGGAATAAATGAAAATAAAAATCTTAAAATTTTAATAAAAAATATTATTGTTTGTAATTTTTTTCTTGAACGAAGATAAATAAGAATGAATATACAATTTTAAAATAATGTATTACCTTCAATAATATATATTTTTGCAAACAAAAATATCATAGATGGTTGCTTGTAGGGGTGAAAATTTAATTGAGTCAAGTCGAGTCAATTTTTTTTAGTAAAACGAGTTGATGAGTCTTATTTTATAACTCAAATTTTATCGGAAAAAATCAAGTCAATTTGAATTTATGAAATTTGAGTTGAATTGTTTGAGATTTTATTTAAATCTAATTTTAAATATTTATAATTTTATGATACTAACTAATTCTAATTTAAACATATTATTGATGGAACAAATGTGTTGAGTCCGTGGTTAACGGTTCACTCCATTTAGTTGAAAAGTTACAACCAATGCAAGGATGATCGTTAACCGATAATATACTTGTGGGAGATGGGGGAGGGAAAGTGACGTGAGAAGGGGGAAGAATTCGAGAGAAAGTTTACCTCTCAGGCGGAAGGGTTTTGACTATATCTTCATTTTTTTTTTTTACATGTAATATACATATATCACTTAGAGTTGAGAAAATCGAATATTATTTAGAAATAAAAAATTTAATTATTAAAATTTTGAATTAGTTGAGTTAATAAGTCTTATTCTATAACTTCAATTTTTTTAAAAAAAAATTTGAGTTGAATCAAATTTATAAATTTATTTGAATCTAATCGAATTTGACTTGGCCTAAATTATTTGGTTCCCAAAACATTTATTACATGTGTCCTACAACACATATGGCGGAGAAGCTGCTGACAAGTCGCACCGGCGGCAGTGCCGCCTGCCCTATCGGCATTTTGCTTCATTCTTAAAACTCTTCAATTCCCTTTAATGCAGTCAACTTGCTTTTTTATCTTTTATTAATATTAACTCCCATTTTGCATCGGTAACTCTAATTTAATTAATCTGCTTTCAATAATGGCAATGACCTGTTGTAGGCTCTTTAAATTGTTTCCACAACAAACACCAAAACCTCATTAATCCAACAGGATTGCAGCCCAACCATAATGGATCCAAGAGCCCCAATTTCTTCATCTCTTTACTCAATCTTTCGCTTATGAGTCATAAAATCTCATTAAATTTATTGAGTGATTTTAGTGATAAAAAGAAATGTCGTTCTTCTTAAAAGATTCAAATTAAAAGATTAAGAAAATTTCTAAATAAATATAACCTTGTAATCATTTCAGATTATTAAAAAACCTTCTTTAATGTTATTAAAAATGATAGTTTAATTATGAATTCCGTCCCTTTATTTTATAAAAGTTGATAAATTAATCCTTTTAACTTTAATTTATTAGAATTAATGAAAGTTAACAATTGAAAATCACATGGTTGCTAAGAATTTGACTAGTATGCTAATTTAAATTTCTTGGTTAAAACCCTAAAATCGACCAAAACTGTTGCCCTCTCAACACAATTCCAGCCTGGATTAGTTAATGAGGCAATTTTATTTGGGATGGTTGGTGATGGAATTGACACATTTCTCAATTGTGGTATATTGTCCTATCAAATTCCAAAAATTTGTTCAAATTGCAAGCTTTACTTTAAAACATGCCCCCAAGAAGCATCAAATCATATTGTCCTAATCAACTTTAGAAATAATGAAAGTAACTACCATTCATTGATTCTAATTTCAATTTCAAATATTTTTTTTCATGTTTTTCCCCTACATTATTAATCATTTTCTACACAATCAATTTGAAAAACCTTTAATATTATATAACCATAATGGTTAGAGTCGGACCGGATTAGTTAGTTAAACCGAAAGTTTGTGGTTTAATTAGTTGAATTGATGAGATAAAATTATAATCTATGCAAACTATTTTGGAGTATTAAAAATTAAAAATCGATGTCAAAAGATTAGAGTAATTAAATATATATTTTTAATTATTGTTGGATTTATGGTTTAAATGATTAAACTGAAAATTGATGATTTCAATCACCCATATGATATTATATCGTTGTTAGAATAAAAAAAATTCCCCCTATTTGGTAGCATCGAGTAAGATTGGAAGGATTGGGACATTTTGCCAAATCCTTAGAAATTATTACAATTTGATATTGATTATCTAACCAAAGTAGTTAAAGAGTTGCAGATTTATTTTTTCCATTTAGGGTTCTATTTTTTTCCTCCTAAATATAAGTTTATTTTATATAACTTAGATAATAAGGTATTTTTTTCTTCAATTCGGGTCGTTTTGCTTTAAATTCAAGAATGTTATGTGTGACATTAAACTATCCATTTTCATAATTTCATTTAGTGAATTCTCTATTTTGATTTCTTAATTTTTTAGTTAAATACAATTTAATTTAATTATAAAAACCAATGTCATAAACCATTTAATCTAAATATAAAACAAGCAATATCAACATTGATCAAAATTTAAAATGGTTAGAATAACTCGAATAAATAATTTAAAGTTACTTATATCTTAAGTAATGAAATTTCAAAACGATCTAAATTCATAATCAACGAATCTACCCTAATACCTACAGCTTTCCTACCCTTAAACCTCTCTCTCTACCCCTTTTTTTTCTCATCATAAATTCCCTCTCTACAAATCTAAAAACATTGGTCGCATTTTGCTCCTATTCCCCCCCCCCATTTTCCAACCCTATACAAAAACTAAAACAATGAAAAAATAGATAAAAATAACAATAACAAAATAAACATTTAAAAAATTTAAAGAGATGGGGATGAGGGACACAATTAGAAAATATTAACCCTAAACAACAGGGTTTCAAAACTCTCCAAACCCTAAACCCTCCCCTTGTATGTAATCTAATAATGCCGGGTTGCTTTTGTTTGGGATCATTTCTGGTGAATCAGTGGTTTCACCCGCAGTGACACATTTGGTTCTTATCTCCAACACTTTCTTATGAGAATTCGAGTGAATCGATGGGATAAACGTTGGGCTCGCTGCGGGACGGTACTCCGGGAAGAGCCTCCCGGACTTGTATCGAACGCCGCAGGCGTTGCAAAGGGTTTTCGGTCCCACTGGCCCCGCCCTCCATTGAGGTGTCTTTGTTATCTCGCAATGCATGCATTTCCTGACGGCTTGTCCCGATTGATTCTGAGCGGTGCTGTTGTCGGTAAGTGGTGTCAGGGGTGTTGTTTTGATCTTCTTTTTCTTCTTGTGCTCCGGATTGACTTGGCGGGGTAACTTGATCAGAAGACGAGACTCAGCATGGTTCTCGGAGTCATATGGCACCTTGGGGGCGATGAGTAACGGTTGAGGAATGTCGTTCTCGTTGACGGACGAAGAAGGGGAGGTGAGTTGAATCACCGGACGAGGATTGAAGGTAACCGGACGAGGACGTTTGCTACGTGCACGTCCACACTTCCCAGGGGCGGCAACCGGTTTCTGCCCGGAGCAAGAGCTGCTGCTTTCGAGAACCGAAACCGGACTAGAAGTCTGGAATTGATGATGATGATGATCATGATTGGATGAGTCCTTATCGATTGAAGAAGGCTCCTGTTTCTTAATTGTCAAGCTTGCTCCACAATTGGAATCATCAACAAAATTTGACAACCATTCCAATTGGACAATGTCTTCATACTGCAAAATCAAAGATTACCCAATAATCAGACAAATTTATATTTATATATTTAAATTCATAAAAAATATATTAATATTTTAAAAAATATTCAAAAGTAGTATTTGTCAAACATCAATTAAGTGGACCCAGCATAATATTATATTATATTTTCCTATAAAGACATGTATAACTAATCACATGACAAATCATGTGACTTCCAAACCTGATGCAATAATTATGCCTTTAAAATAATGCAAAACCCTAGGTGTATTCCACTTTTTCATTAAAAAAAAGGTTAATTTCATATTTTAGTCCCTCTACTTTGCTTATATTTGAAATTAAATCTAGATCCATCTCAATTAATTAAGTTAAAATGACAACAACGATTCCTTAAGTAGGAAAATCCATTGAAAAATGTATTTTTAAGGAAAATATCAAGTAGTTTGACTAATTAATGTAGTATGGGGATCAAAACAGCAATTCGACCCTTGAAAATGAAATAATAAAAAAGGAAAAATGAGTGATATTTATGACGTCATCAACATGGGATAAAAAGGAAAATGAGACACTGACCGGAACAGAGAGTTCGGCGGAGAGGTCGGAAGCACTGTTGTTGGAAAGAACTGAGTCAGAACCAGGGAATGACTCGGACTGAGCTGTCCAAATGCTGGGAAAAGCGGCGGCAGCGGAGTCAGAGGCGGATAAGCCCACGTCGACGTCATCGTTAGGGAAGTCGAGGAGGTCGTCTATGTGGTCGAAGAAACTGCCGCAGTCTATCTCGTCAATGAAATCCGCCGGTCCAATCATATTTTCTTTATATTAAAAAATTCCTGAATTTTTTTAAAACAAATTATTATTGTTAATTATTAGTAATTCCAAAATTATTTTTGGAAAAATATTGTATAATTGTGAAAATTCAAATTTGGGTAATTTTTTAAGTGAAAGGTTGGAAGGATAGTGAAGCAAACCTCTGTTAAAGAGCACAACTTTTCTGGGGAAATAAGAGAGAATTTTCCTGGAAAATGAAGAGAGATTGTCTCGGAAACCTGCAAGAAAGAAAGTTGAGAAAAGTGAAATTGTGAGTACACAAACAACATTGGTAGCTGACACGTATACATTGAAACTCATTGGTGTCAAATTAAGTTCAATTCCTCTGCTTTCTCAGTTACCAACCAGAGTAGTAGCTATTAAAAGAAATGATTTTTGATCCCCACACTGCAAATTTTCCAAAACTTGCCACTCAAAGAAGAAGAACCCAATGTTGAAAAATACGAAATCTTTGAAGCAAATCCCGAAACCCCAAGTTCATAAAAATGATGATAAGAAGCAAGGAAGCATGTAAGTGAGTAGCTAAAGGAGATACCTTTGAAGAAGAGAAGAGGGAAAATGGAGAGAAAAAAAGAAAGGAAGAGAAACAGAGAATAAAAAGAGGAGGGGAAGAGGAAGGGGGAGTTATAAGGAAGGTAGGTCAGCACTCAGCATCCTTTCCTTCATTGCTAGCTGTCTTTTACTCTTCTTCATTGTCTTCATCTTCAAGTTTCTCTCTCTTGTTATCATGGCTTCAAATTTAAAATCCAATTGATTTAGAGTAAAAAAAATTAAATTAATTAAATTGATAAATTTTATTTGATTTTTTAGTCTAGTTAAGTGTATAAAATTTTATTCGAGTTAAGTTATTCAAATTTTTATTTTAATATAATTATAAATATTGATAATATTATGATACTAATGATTTTAATATAATCAATTTTATATAATCATATATGATATATATATCTCTTATTTTCTTTCGTATACAATATATATATATATCATGCAAAGCGAAGATATTAGACTTGTACTTAAAAAATAATCTATTATTATTAAAAAAATATTAAATTATTCTAATCTTATCATATAATTTAAATTTTATTTAAAAATTTAAATCTAAAATAAATTTTTAATGTCAAATCAAGTTGAAAATATTAATTTTTTTCAAGTTGTGTAAAATTTTATACAACCCCAGTTATTATCCGTTTTAGGGTCTCATCCCCTTTTTCTTTTTATTTATATTCAATCAAAGATTACTAATAATATTTAAATGACCAGTTAATTACTAAAATTTTTAAATATTATAAATTATTATTAAATTATTATAAAAAGTTCAAAATATCAAGATAATTATAAAATATTTTTTCTGAAATTTAAAACTATATTCTTAGAGTATATATCAACTAAGTGACTAACATATGAAGTTTAAAGTTTTTCAATTATAACTTTATTCCAAAATTATGCTAAAACTATAATGTAAAATTTAGATTTTATTATTATAAATTAAAGGTGAAAAAACAAGCACGAATAAAATTATTTTTAGAGGTCTCAAGTTCAAACACCAAAAGCTACAAAGGTATTTAAGATTTTATTGTCAAATAATAAAAAAATCTTTAAAATATATAATACCTTATAATAAAATTAATTTAATTTAATAAAAAAATATAAGTGAAAAAACAAGAAAATTAATTTAATTACCTCTTATTTTTTAACTCCCTAGATTTGAGTAAAACAAAAAAAAATGTCAAAAGTAAAAAAGAACCAGTAACTCGACTAATTGGAGCGTGGACGAACACTCATCGAATTTTACTCACCTGGCGTTGTTTCATTGGGATTATTGACGTGGCAATAAGAAACTGCGCGTGGTCTTTGTTCTTAACTTGGGTTTAGCATTCCCGTGTGGATTAGATTTGCCACCGTTTCCCTTTAAAATACAGCTTTTGTCAAATAAAACCTTAACGCGGGCTTTATATATGGCCAATTTTTTTAAAAACAAAATAAAATAACTGGATATTTTGTTCATTTTTTAATAAAATAATAACTTTTAAGTTAAATGTTGGGAGTAAATTAAGTATTTAGTCACTTATCTATTCTCTTTATTCCGTTTTGTTCACTTAACTATTTTTTTTAGATTACACCTAACATCACATTTTAGTTCTGTTTTTGTCATCCGTCATTAAAAAATTAATAATCTAAAAAAATAAAAAATTGATGATCTAACATTTATATCTTAGATGTTAATATCTTAGATTATACCTAATATCTTAGATGTTAATTATGGGTGTGACCTTGTCAATTTATTTTACTCTATTATTTAAGTAATTTAACTTCTTAATTTAATTTTATAGTTTTAATAAATAATTAGCTTTAAGTAATTACATAATTTTTAATACATTGTGTTGATGTGTGTGTTGACATGATATACAATAAATATAAAAATGATTGAAGAGATAGCATAGAATTCAATTTTCTTAAAATTTGATTTTATTTCAATTTAATATGTAATTTGTATTGAATTGCAATAAATTTATTTCATAAAACATGTTGACATGTACATTTTGATCCATAAATTTAGACCAAACATGATTTTATTTACTCTTATTTTGTACAATGATGAGTTATTTTCAAATATCCCACATTTTTAATTTCATATTATCATTTTTCTTATTGATATTGACACTAAATTTCGGAATGTGATGGAAAAAATCGTATTGCTATCATTAAATCTCTTCATTATAAGGTCTAAATAGTTTTAATCTTTTTATAAAATTTTACTCATATTACATTGATTTGTCGAAAATGATAAAAAATTACATAATATAATGACTATAATAGGAACAATACATTTGAATTACTACAAATATGATTCATTATTATAGATTATGAAATTACTGTGTTGCTTTAGTGGATTAAGAGGTCGTTATTTGTCTTAAAGTATTTGAGTTTGAACAGTTCTGACTGTAGGGTGTATGTACATTATCATAAATTAAGAAAAATTATGATGAGATACTACCTTATAATCACCCATAGATACTGATAAAAAAAATTATTATAGATCATGAATCAAATGTATAGTATACTACCATTTCAACTAACCTTTCATTGACTTTTTTTTACACTCAAATTACATCTCTTATTAAAAAATGGTAATGATGATTAATTAATTAGAGCTATTTAATTTAATACATTCGACTTTGTTGTAATTTATTATATTTATAAAGTCATGGTTTTTGAACAATTACTTTGGGTCCCCTTCCACTAACTATCAATTATTATTGTCTCTCTTTCACTCGAGGAAGAAGGGGGAATGCAATTTCAGTGAATTTGAGGCTTTCTTCAAAATTAATTTTACTTTTTAACTTTATTTATATTATAATTTATCTACACTCCATAGTTTCTTTTAGGGTAAATTGTGTATTTAGTCTTCCAACTATCACGTTCATTCTGTTTTGGCCACTCACTTTTAAAAGATAAATAGAATTGTTGATGTGATATATTTTTCAATGATGATGTGACTTTACGCATGATTTAAAAGAAAAAACTAATAATTGATGACCAAAACTGAACCAAAATGATTATTTTGATGACTAAATACATAGTTTACCTTTTCTTTTTGTTGGTATATTAATTATAAATACTTAAATTTTAACTTTATTTACGTAACTGGTACTTCTATCACACATCTTTTACAGTTATACTAAATCATTTTCACTTTATCCATTAATTTATGCAAATAATTGTAATTAAAAATCTAAAATGAAATCGTAAAGGAATTAGGGTATTCATCCATTGTTTTATTTATTTGTATCAAATTCATATGATGTGCATCGTGCATGATTCAATCTACCTAAGTGGTTAAGAGGTGTTGTTATTTTCAAAGGTCTTGGATTTTAGCATGGCATTTGTAGTGGTATTATGAGCGTTTATTATCAAATGATTAATAATCTTTTAAATAGATTCGATTTTTTTAACATGAAATTTTTGTTAACAATAAATATCATATTCGATCTTAAACAATCTCTCTTTCTTATTGTAACTAACTTGATTGAGGGACCTTAGGCAGTAGAGAAATGATGAACCTCACTCACTCCATATCTACCTTCACTCTTTTTTAACTAACTTGAATTGTACTCTTTGCACCAAATCCTTCTAAAATACTCACTCCTCTCTCTCTTTTCTAAAAAAATATACTAAAATATTTAGGGAAAAGCAATTCATTTTTATTTAATATTTTTTAAAAATATAACTTGAGTTGCACTCTGAGGATCACTTTCTTGTAAAATACTTCTCCCATTGTTTAAAAAGCAAAATTAAGGTTAAAATCCATTTAAATTTAGTAGAATAAGTTGTGAGTACGACCTGATCGAGATTTGAATCCAAGACGTTAAGATATCAACACATAATTTCAATCATTTACTCTTTTGAATTATCAATAGATTTTAAAGTTTAAAATAAAGATACATTAAAGGTGATATTAATTTAATTTCATTTACAAAATAAGAACATTCCATTAACAATTATAAATATTAACCTAGCTTCATAATTATTTTGGTTATCAATTTTTATGTGAAGGGTGTTTTTTTCTTATTAATTAACAAGTTACATAATAAATTTTTAATTTGTCATGTGTTTGTGACACACATTTTAATACAATTAAATGTGGATATTGCATTCACATAAAATCTTAGGATAAGCATACCATTCTTCCCTTTAAAGATTAGATGAAGAAATGTGTTATGCCCATCATATTTGCTTTTTTTCTTCTTCAGCAAATACCTTATGATAATTAGTAAAATGTGTTGTATTTTTAAATGCAAATACCTAATTGGCAAAACAAAATAAATTCCAAATTTTAAAATAATTAATTAAATTTAAGTTCCTTGCATATTTTAGTGGACCAGACTAATGGACTGTCTTCTCTTCCTCTATTCATGTTATTTTTTAATAATTATATTGTTTTTTTTAATTATAATAAGATCAAATAAACAAATTTAATATTTAACTTAATTGATTTATATACATATGGACGGACCCATGTTACAAGTGGAGGGCCATTGTCCCCTAATATTTACTGTCTAATTACATTTTAGGCCATCGAAAAATTTAAAACTATTGCAATCAAGCTTTTGTCTCTCTCAAAAAGTTTTTGGTAAAATTGTTTTTAGTATATTGTCACTTTTAAAAATAATAGAATTAATTTTAGGCCTAAATTTATGTAATTAATTATTTTTAAGACCTTTAAATTTTAAAATTAGTAAAAATTAAACCCTTCATCTCTTAATTTTAATGATTTAATTACTTTTTAGAATATTTTTATTTTAAAATAAAGCACCTTGCATCTCTCATCGTTCAATTTTACTCATCTGATATACACTTAAAAATGTATATACATTTAAAAATGACATCTGATATGTAATTTTCGAATCTCATCGTAAGTAACCTCTACTTTAGGGACATATGACTAGAAAAAATACATTTTTCTAAGGGACAAGGGTATATTGTAGGGAAGTCTTTGATTTTGCAATTTTTTAGGTCAAGGAATATGGGCATTGCATCTGATACCTATGGGAAAAGCACATGACTTTGTGCCCTAAAATAGGTGTCCATGCATTTATTCATTGAATGAAGTACAACCGAACTAAAAATTAAAATATATTTAAACCTACACTATAATGTATTTGGACTGAACACAATTC